CAGTAATTATAAACTGTAAAAATGTACCCTAATTCACTACAATAGACTATGCCCTGAGAAGTAGCATTACACACCAAGTAAAAGCCACTAGAAATTGTCAGGTCTACAATTCAAAAGCATAAACTGTCCAGAAGGAATTTCTTGGAAGCACAATGTTTCCTCAGTTTTTTAGCAACCTATTGCTTCTTCCGAGGAAAACACTAACGAAAGTCTACGCTAATTCTACTTTTCCCAACTTTAACTAGATTTTTCTTTTCTCCTTTAAATTCTCCTGGGAAAACTAGATGGCTTTATAGATAAAGCTTTTTCTTTTCACCTCTGAAAGAGGATGTAGGCTTAGTCTGAGGTTCCGAAAAAAACTGAGCCTGGTGAACTCCACTTCAGGACATCAATCACAGCACTTTCTGGGAGGTAGTCAGAGTTATCTAAATGCAAAATGAGGCTACCTCACCAATTGCTTTGCTACATTCTTCTTTGCTGGTTGGAAGAACAAAGGAGAAGTTGGGAAAGAAACAGCTCTGAGCACATGGGGAAAAAAACCAAAACAAACCCAGAAGATCATCTGAGACAGGGACACTGAACTTTCTTTGAAGCTAAAATGAATGTTAAGCACATTTGAGAACAGAAAAGTTACCCTGTTTCCTTTATATCTGACATTAATAAACCAGTAAGATCTAATTGTAAAGGCCTCCCATCACCAAACGAGTACAGGACAAACATACAGTTAAAAGTCACATCTGCATTTCACTTCACTGCTGCTTTTCCAAGAACTGCTCTAGAAGATACAACTCAGGAGTTGTGTTTGGTTTTTTGTTTTTTTTCCCCCACACTGTAAGTGCAATGGCTCACTTCCTACAAAATTCAAAAAATCAAAGGAACCTTCTTCCCTCACAGAAGGCAAAACAAAACTAAGCAAACAACCTTGTCCAAAAATTGAATCATCACGTCTCTGAAGACTCACCACTTAAATTATTCTCTGGTAGCCACATTTTGTTCATTGTATTATAAGTTATTCTGAAAAAGTATGCTTGTCGACTCTGGCTATGTAGAGAAGACATTCCAAAACTCTTCATTTCTGCTCATCAATCTTACACAGTACTATTTCAAAAATTAATTACCTACTTTGAAAAAAAACTCATTCCTGTCTGTAAAGACGAGCTATACATTCTAATTAAGCAGCACTACACTAGCACAAAACTGGAAACACCAGAAATTTTGATTGTAAGACAGTATCTAAGCTTTCTTACCATATTACCACTTTGCTTATTTGTCTTAAAATAAGTTCTATATAAGGTAATTAATGAAACAGTATAAACCAATCTTCCCCCTATTTAAATGGCACATGGATTTAACCATATAAAGAGTGTCAGAAGTCACAAAAACACTAATATGCAGGTATGAGTAGATTAACAAATATTCATCAGAGCAGCTATAGCGATGCGCTCCAATAACAACTTTAAACAAGTTTGCTATTGTAGCTATGTTTAACACTGCATGTCTTGCTCCAATAACTGTAACACAAGATAAACCTAATGCCAATGGAATAACAGTTAATGTATTTAGCAGCAGAAAATTAACCTCTTAAAAATGTGATTCCTTCTATTCTAATTTCTGTAGTTTCAAATTATGCTTGTTCCTCAAACCCCTTTGCCTCTAGTACAAAGAAATTTCTACAAAGACTAATCCAGTGAAGAAAAACTATTTGTATCAATTCAAATGACACATACTACAGCAGAAGATAAAATCAGTAAAGACGCTCCTCTTTAAATTAAGACATTTACAGGTACACAAAGTTTGACTTTGAACTCACAGCGAAAGCCTCGCATTCTGCAGCATCTGTTGGACGTTTTCTCTGCAGGAATATTCACTGACTACACTATAATTCTCTGACTTCCAAAACACAAACCAACTAAAATAAATTACTTAAAGTAGCTCAGTAGCTTAAAGTACTCAGTAACCTTTATGCATGTTAACTACCAATGGCCTGAAGCCACTTTTTTTTTTTCCAGCAGTGCCCTGATGGGACTCTGCAGTCACTCCATATGGTTAGACAGGGACGTTCCAGAGATCATGGGTCTAGAATATCACACAACTGTGAGCTTAATGCTATTTGCTGTAAGTATCTCTTCAATCTCTCTTCAAGCCTCTTTCATGGAAGAGGCTTCAGGACATTGACAACTTGACATAATTTAGTTACATATTTTCTTCTTTCATATAATTTATATTGTTATCATGAAAAAATTAAAGCTCCATTTTGACAGCCTATTGCTTGCACTTAACTCCACACTTAAGGTCATACTACAGCTGTCAAAAGTAATAAAAGTATTAAAACTTTTAAAAGTAATAAAACTGTCAGCACCAACTCTAATCAGAGCTCTCTGAACATTTTTCAAGTATGAAAATACAATGCAAATCTCTTCAGTTACATAGGACCAAATCTTGTCTTCCTACATGCATGCACAACTTGTGCTGACATGAAGAGGAACTGCACACATATATATGAGGGTGGCTGTTTGATCTTAAGTATTTCTGATGGAAAGATTGTCAAATTCAGCAGCAAAATATTTCCATGACTTAGGCCTAAGAAAGCCAACTAAGACTCCAAATAGTAGCCTGCAAGAAATGTATAACAGATTTCAACTCGGAATCCAATATAAATCTTTTCCTGTAAAAACCTCAATCATTCCAGTGCAAGAAGAAAGCATCTCTTCCCTTCCACAGCTCAAGAAATATTTCTTATCATACTCCCACTTCCCAGTCTGCTCCTGCCACTAATATTTTTATCATGAACAGGCAATTTTTGTCAAGGTAAGCAGAACACACAACTATGTTACTGTGTAAAGTAATACAGGACCAAGAACATGACCCTTAATACATTTCCAGCTGACTTCACACTTTCCAGGTTCATATTAGTTGTTAATGGTATACTGTTAATCAACCTGACCCAGGCTACTACACATGCTTTCATCTATCTTTCATGCTGAAAAAAAACACCAGGTCCTCTGGGATGTGTAGAAGTTCTTGCTCAAGGTAAGTTCTTAAGTTCAGACTCTGGTTTGTACCTGACCCTACACCCATCTGTCAGTGGTCAAAGACAACATCTTATGATGAAGTTATCCTCTCAAGCCATTCCCAGACTTCCTTCACACATCATTACATTCTTCTGCAACTAAAAACATCAACCAAGACAGCATCCCAGAGCACCTCAAAACAAATGGCCATGTATTACACCCCAAGCTATGCAGAGACAGGTGTGGATGTCCATTGAGACAAAGCTTTGCAGTGGAGATGTTCAAGCCTAGGTCAGTCTTATCTAGGTACTGTAAACAGAAGAGTATATGCTTAGACATATCTGTTTGCTACTCTGTGCCTGAAATCAGTTATGAACATACTCTCTAAGACCAGAGGTGGCCTATTTTCATTTTGAAATGCAAGAGTAACTCCCGTCCAACAAACTCTTTAAAACTGTTGGAATTGCATGTGTTTCAACTGCCTGTTTTCTTTCCAAATGATACCTGTTGAGTAGGCTACCTGTTTTTTCCTTCCCTTCCCTCATTGTTGCTCTCTCTGCCCAACAGAAACAGCAGCTTGAAATTTGTCACAGTCAGGAGGCACTTTGGGCAGGAGAAATATACAACCATTTCAAGACTCTAGCTTGAAAATGTAATCCCCTCAGTGAATGGTCTGTTTGGAACAGAGGCAATGTTGCCATTGTACAAACTTCTGCAGCTGTACAATGTTTTTCCCCTTGGTCTTTAGACCAGCACAACTATATTAGTGTAAAAAAATCCCTTACGTAGACAAATTCTAAGGAAATGACAAAATAAACCATAAATGTTTAAATTCACTGGAATAGAAATGTGTTTCAAATTCCCTTAAAATTTACAGTTATGTAAACAGAGACATATGGCTGGAGAAGTGCTCTTACGGAAGATTCAAAAGGAAGAAAACCAAAGACTGAAGCTCTGCAAAAGAACAAAAGTGAAGAGAGCTCCCTCCTGCTGTCTTTGTTTTGAATTGTATAGTCTCAATCATCAGTCAGAAGAATTACTTTTTACTCTATCATCTATTGGACTTGTACAGACTTGGTTAAGTACAAGTACCAATGTGTGGTTTAGCAGGCTGAGATTCTGTAGTGTACATATAATACATTCAGAAATTTGTATTAAGTGTAATTAATTCTGGATTGTTGTGATCCAATAAATAAATAAATACCAAATAGGAAATGAAGGTAGTCTGTTCTAAGAAAAGTATTTCCAAATATAGGTCTGACTGAAAGTGTGAGTCTGAACACGTGTTTGACTGATTTTTTGCCACATTTTCCCATACCTGCTTTTAAGGATTTCCACTTCCTGGATTCTCCTATCAAACTAATATGACACCTAATAAGCAAACAAAAATTCAGTTACAATAGTAGAAGGCATGGTTCCAATCCTGCTCCTGGAGCTCTAAGAAAAAAACACTGCAGTCAAACATTCTACCAAAGGTTGCTAATACAAAAGTAATAGCACTCACTGAACATAGTCCAAATACAGCAAGGTATTAGCAAGTTGCCACAATAGTAAAGAGGAACAACCTGGAAACAGGTTTAGCTCATCCTGACAGATCCTCCTATTCTTTTTCCAGACACTGTTTCTAAAGCATTTCAGATATTTTTCTTCACTCTTTGTTTGGTTGGTTTGTTTTCTTTTTTTTAAAGCCAAATTACTCAAGAGTCCCCCTTAATGCAGCAATTTTAAAAATAGGAAAATGCCAAAGTAAGAAGCTGACACAGAGCGATTCCTTAAAAAGATTAAAGAAAAAACTGTATTTGCTTATTAAAAGGGTATGCTAGTTCTTTAATAAAAGTGACAGACTTATGCTCTGAATATGAACGTTAGGGCTGCCCATTAAAGAGTGAGAAACACGTGGTTAGCTAACACTTGCAAACAAGACATGCATTTGTGTCTGAAAAGAGAATATTGCACTGAGAAGAACCCTGAAGGCTTTAAACTCCTTCTTCACTGACCTAAAAAAGTCACTAGCCATTTCCTGTAAGCAGTAGCAAACCTGGCTTGGTCTGAATCCCTGCAGGTGGATAACACTCTATCGATGAAGCGGTACTCCACCTCTGGATCGAGGGAGTCCTGCACAGGGGCGCGCTTCAGGCGCTTCGTTTCCTGCGAATAACCCTGCTTGCCGCTGGATTCACCCAAACCATCCACATCCATCGCTTGTGCCACAGGACCTGCAGTAGGGCTGTGGTGGGAATTGCTCAGAGTGTCATCGCTGCTCTCCGCAGGTGACACCGCTGTGCTCGGAAGCTTGCTGCTCAGGTGGTGCTGAAGGTAGAACACACGCCTTCTTCAGAGGAAAAGGAAGGAAGAAAAGAAAAAAAAAGTCACACACCAAAAACAATATGCTGTTGCTGCTGAACTGCTTCAGTTCCTTTGCCATCCCACCAGATTCCCCTCAGACACAAAACCTGCTGTCAATCCTTACACTCCACAAAAAAGGGCTCAGTGTCACTTTGGCAAATCTGCTGTTTAACCTAGTCAGGCATGTACACCCAGCTGGCAAACCAGAGGTTTCCTGCAGCTGATCCGTCTTCTGCCTATCTTTTGCTCATCCTTTGCCCTTTAAAAAATTTAAGTGTGAGGAGGCTCATTAGAAGTATATTGTGTCTTTTGCACAAACTACAGGGACAAGTGGAGCTTACATCAACAAAACACTTAAACCAAATCAAATTTTCCATTCAATAATTCTGCTTATGCTCTTGAATGTTTTCCAAAGGCTTAAGACATGGTAGATTAGAAATCTGTCATTGAGCTTTTGAAATTAGAACAACCATTTGTCTGTAAACACCAGGTGAAGAACAACCAACAAATTAGAAGGACACTTTTTACCAAGTCCTCTTACCTATGACACCACAAGGTCTCATGCCCTGGGTAAGTATCAATCAGTTCAGTGCAGAGCTCCAACTCTTCCTCTAAACAGTGGGGGAGATCCACACTCTGCTCCTTGCCACAGGCAGCTTCTGCCCCTGCGCTCTCTTCCTCCTTTTGAAGGCTAGGGTTTTGTTCATTTACCCTTTGATTTTGTACCAGTACATTATTGTCAGTCACTGTTCTGCCTATCAAGGACTTGAGTAAGAACTGGCGGTAATGAAACCCACTATGGTCTGAGACATGCATGGACACCCAATATTTAGTGGATGCAAGTTCATCAAGCAGAACCTGAAACAAAAAGCAGCAACAGTTATCAACCAGTATAAAGGAGGAATTTACCACTACTGTTTCTGTATTAAAGTAAGATTTTCTCTGTGGATTTCAGCCACTGTGGTAATCTTTTCAGAACACAAGCAGAAAAAAGAAATCATCACCAAGCCTTTTCTACTGTGTGCTGACAAGTATCTTGGCATTGTTGCACAAAATAAATTATACTTCTTGCAAACTCTTGAGATGGTAGGTGTCTCAGCAACATTCCCACAGAGCGAGGGGGAAAAAAACCAACCACCCAAACCACTTATGATGAGAAATAAGCAGTAGTTTAAGAATCTCAGAATGGTTAGGAATAAAGACTATTCAGACGAGGCAGAGGGTACACCAAACAATGTGGATATTAGCTGGAAGTATTTTAAATTTTGCCTAGTGTATTATGAATGTCAGAGGGTGGGTGAGTTGCTTAGGAAAAAAAAAAGTAATTTACACTTTCACTTTTCAGAGTCAACCACTAACATTATGTTCCAAGTCCTACAGCCTGTGGAATAAAAAACTATTTGTCCATAATTAAGGTGCTTGACTTGGTCATTGGTGAACTCGCAGAATGGCTTTTACAGTAACTATGACAAATACTTACATCGGTTCTGGCACGAATAAATTTTATCTTAATTCTGAATGGTTTTAAACCTTCAAAATCTATTTCAAGGAAAATGGGTGGGCTGGGCTAGTGGGCAAAGCTTCTTTTACTTTCCCTGTTAGAACTAATGGTTGTATTTCTTTAAAGGCTTTAACCTGTGTCTCACATTGCTCCTCCTCTGGAGTTTAAACTTTCCAAAGAGATAAAAACTACCTTTTTTTCATTTAACTGTAAAGACTTTGGATATAATATCAATACTCTGGATATAACCTTACTGGCATATTCTTACTTTTAATCTCTCTCTAAGGTGCCCAAATCACTTGACAGGATCATCTGATGCAAAGCAACTTTCACAGGCATAGCTTTTCCTTTTTTGTCCTGCAGCACAAGAGGCACAGCCTCCAACAGAGAAAACCACAAAAATGCACGAGGCAAGTTACACACCTCTTTTGTGGGGCATCTGCTCTAAAAGATATTAGGGCAAACATAAGTGATGGAAACAGTAAGGTAACTTATAGATATAAATAAATAGTGAGATAACCTGAGATACTCAATACACTTTTTTTAGGTCTTGGTAAGAGATACCAGCATTGTCTTCTTTTTACAGAGCAGCAAATTGAAGGGCACTATTAAGTAACCATCCACATTCAGGATTCTTAAGGGGGCTAAAACTCCATCTCCACTTCTGCAGTTCAAACCACAAGATCAGCTTCTCTCTTCTTGGCAGAATCGAGCTTACTCTTTTAGAATTTTGAACGTTAAATTTTAAAAGCCTACTAAAATTCAATAGAACACTCAAGGTCGACAACAGAAAAATCAGTCCAGTCTTTATTCTGCTGCAACTGATGGTACACACATTATGTCCAACTTGGATCCGGAATAATCTGATTCCTTCTCCTGACATGTTTGCAAGCTACAAAGTTACAGGGTAACACTGTAATTATGCATTTCAACACCCATCACAAAGCAAACAGAATGACTCCCAGCATCGCTCCTGAAAAGAGCAGAAAAAACTCTTTTAAGAAAAAGAATAGAAAACCTCTTTTAAGGTTTCAGCAATACAGAATATTGGCATTAAACCTCTTGAGATGTAAAAAAACCTGATGCCTTTCCTCTAGGAACCTCAGAGTAACAGTGGAAGATGTTTCAAACAACGGGAGGTAAAACAAAAACCCAGCTAATGCCTGAACTGCAACAGAAGATCTTCCTTGCAAAGCTAGTTTTGTCAATTACCATACCAAACAGCACAAGCCCTTTGCTATTCCTCCTTGAAGCAAAGAGGAAATTATATAAAATACGTCCTTCCCCACTCCTGACAATCTCTCACAAAGGGTCATCTTTTACCTTCATTGGTGAGCTGAGCACCATGGATTGGCACCCTGCTCTACAATACGGCATACACACTTGCTGACCTTCGCCTCAGCCTCTGGGTCTGCACTCCCTCTTCCACCGTCCCTGACCTTATGTTTGCTTTTTTATAGTGCTTACCCACAATAAAATGCAGCCTAAAACTTCCTCTTTGGTCTGCGACACTGGGGAGATGAAAAGGAACTGTATTTTTCAAAAAAAACTTCTAAGGATAATCAGATAAATAAGGGAATGACCACTCATACAAAAGACAGATACCTCTGGAGGTCCAATCATCTAAGAAAAAAATTAAGGCCTAACTAGGGATGTCTACAGGACAAATTACTTTCTGTCCTACAAACATACTTCTGTCTTCTGGTTCTGCCATAAGAGAGGCATTGCCCCATGACAATCACCCCACCACTTGTTTCTTTGCTTGTTTATCATTTTAAGGCCCGATCAGTCACTCTACGTTGTGTAAGTATGAAGTTGATTATTCCCATCTAAAGAAAACAAGAAACTTTATCCATTCTCAAAGAATTAGACGCTGTTTTTGTACCTGCAGTTTCTCTGAAGCATCATGATGTGTATGAATTTTAACAGATTATACTGATACTACTCTCTTACTTTAATTCTGTAATTATATACCCCACCTATTAGGCATCTGGAGCCCACGGTCTCTCCCCATTAGCTAACTGTACTGTCACATGAAGAAGTCAAGCTTTCTCATCCTCTTCTGAGGCACGTATTCCAATATCAAAACGATTAGATTAGTTTGGAACAGTCTATTGTTGATAAATCCTTAACTGATATTAATGAACACTATACAAACTCTTTGTAAACTTGCTAAAGTGGTTCAAATTCTGCAGGAAAGCCAAACTGAGATTTCTGTATTCAAATGAGATTATGTTCTTTACTGTCTAGTGTAAGAAAGAAGAAAAACCTACATTCTGTGAGAAAATCTTCCTACAGGGCCAAAACTTTCTCCTCTAGTATTTTACATTTTTTTCCCAGAGTCTGAGCTGAGATTCAGTCTGCAGAAGCATTAGGATTGCCAAACCAAAGGAAAAACAGCCCAAACGCCACCAGACAATCTACTCCCTCGAATACCCCAACGCAGGCCAACAGTTTCAAAAATGATAAACCTGTTTTAAGTAGTCTCATTTCCACATAAATAGAACATACACATTATGTCTCTGGGCCTCTATTTCTTTGTACACCATAATGAAAAACACCTCAAACTACTGGCAAACTTTGCATTATAGCACAAATGTGGCTTTGAATAGCACAGAGCACTCTTATTTGATGCAACTCTGAAAAACTAAAAGGATGTAGAATGACAGTGACTGTTTTGTGTTAATTTTTTCAGCACAGTTCCAGTCTTACATCTCAGTGAAATTTACCATTCTTTTCAGATATTCAAGACTACAAATGGCTGGAAGTACAATATAAAACAGCAGGAAAACAACTTGTATATTTTTGTGAAAATATGTAATGTCTGCTTTTTACCTGTCCTCCTTCCTACTTGTTTTCTTTCCTCATATCACGTCTTGCAAACAGTCACATCCTAATTCTGTCTTTTTAAGTTACCTAGACACAAATTTAATCACAAGATTCTCGTATCTTTTATGTTCCACACTTTTTCCTAATCTTCCAGCATCCCAAACACAGATGTGTTAGGCCATCTGAAGAGATGCTTTGGTGATGTCATGAAAAAATACCTAGAGACAATATGAAAATTTCCCAATGTGTTAAGCTCTGCTTGAGGAACAGCAGCACCAGTGAAATTTTGCCAGAGGTAAAGAAGGATAGTTGGACAAAACAAGAGAAAGCTATCACTTCCTTGGTACTCAGCCTCAAAAGATGACCAGCAGGGTAGCTGGGATGGCAGGCAAGGCAAACAGGCTTGGGAGCATCAAACAAAAACACCTGCTTCACAGGCAAGCTTGTGACCTGTCACACAAAGCATTGACAACTGCCAGTGAACAAACCCACCAGAGTAATTCCAGCTCTGCCAAGGGTTATTGCTATCACAATGCAATTATTTCTTTATTTAAATTAGTAAGGAAGAGCAAGTCTAAAAAGCACTCAGCGTGTTATCCTGATCTTCAAACTACTGCTAACTAAAGCATAAGATTACTTGACTTTTAATTAACAGTGCAAATATTTTTTCCCCTTTTTTCAATAAAGCTATGGACGAATTACGTGGAAGTCCCTGTTTCATAATAATATAGGCCTCTGACCCTAAATTCTAAGCTCCAATCTATCCCAATCCTACAATTCTTAGGAGTTTTTCCTAACTACCTTTTCATACAAACTCAGCAAACAGATGAGTCCAAATTCTGGGCTGTCTCCATCATGAAGTCTGGAACACACTTGCTATTTACTACCAGTCTGCTACACCTATTTTTAAAGCTTCTCAGGTGACAATTAACAGGAAACATCAGCAAGACATCCACTGCTAGCAGCAGCTGGCCCATACGTCATAAAAATAACAGCTATACTGACTCAACCTCTACCAAATTCCTTTCTCACTCCCCTGTGTATTTACAGGATGGCAAAATGCAGTGGCTGCTGTAAAAAGTATGAGTGATGTGTCACTGTAGCAGCCTAATACTCACGAGGAATTCACCTACAGATTAGAAAACACAGTACTACAAAACTGCATATATAATGTTAGACCATGTCACATTAATTCCAATTCCTGCAGGTCCTGATGCTTTAGATACTACCATGTGATTGCCATCACATAAGGTGCCCCCGCTAGAGCTGAAATAGCTTGATGAGTCCTAAGTTTAAATGCTGCCAAAGAATACTGTTGGAGTTGAAGATTTGTCTGAAATTCCTTTACTACTTCTATATTCTGAAACCACAGATAAGCCAAATAGGGTATCAAAGCAAAGACACTACCTTACACTATCTAAATAATATATCATATATTACCTTCTTCTCTATCAGGAATTTTAAGATTAGCACTAGAGGAGTTATTTTTTCAGTTGCCCCTTCTTTATTTCAGCTCACACATCTATTTCCCTGCCACAAGTTCATTAACACCAAGTACCAACAGAGAAAAAGGACTTCAACAGTGGGCAAGAAAAATCTGTTCTTTCTGTTGAGCAGACATGTCTACACTGGCAAGAAAAACACAAAACATCCTCACTACAATATTTTGCCCATTTTTAAAAAACATTCTTGGCTACCTGTGCTAACTTAATATGATACTCTATCCATGTCTAAGGATCTGCCTGACAAACCAATATTTTATTTTTTTTTTTTTAGACAAGAAAATATAAGACTTTATTCACGATTGTACTATACCTTGACAGTCAGCTTTCCCAAATGCTGTAGAACCCAGATGCGATGGGACCAGGCATTGTAGTTGCTTGGGTACCTCCCAGCAGCTTCAGAGCAGACATTCATTTCCTCCTGCACTAGCCGGTGAATTCTCTCCACAGGTGCTGCTCCCAAGTTTCCTTTAGTCAGGAGACTGGGCAAGGAGTTTTCCTGAATTAGCTGTTGCAGTACCCACCGTCTGGTTAAAAGATGAGCAGTGGTAATGGTGAGAAAGCCATTTAAAGAGGAAAAAAAATTTTTTTTTCCAATCAATCAAACCTTTCTGATACTTCAATTATCTGAACCACACTGTAACTGGATGATGAATAAGTGGTAAACATAACCACCCTTGAACCCTTCCCATACTGAAAGCTATGTCTCTATGATCAGATTAAAAAATATTTCAATCCTGGCTGTACTTGTTTGCTCACTCACTGTAGGTAGCCACGGCTACTTACAGCACACTGAAAGAAAACAGAAGAAGACAGCAAGTTTATGAAAAAAATGCAAGAACTATTTGCACGAGATTTCTAATGAGCTCCTCTTTCACAGACTTGCACAGCACTAGAATAAAGTATCCAAAACGAGACAGAAAAAAAAGTGATTCAATAAAAAAAACCTGTGCTTTCTAAATATTTTTTACCATTGTCAGTACTGCACAGCACAATTTAAGCTGGCTTCTGTGCACCGCCAGCAGAAAGAAGGTACAAAAAACTTACAGTTTCAAGGTACGGCTACAGGCATAACCAAAATAAATGTTTTTCCTACGGAATTACACATATTTCATTTGAAGTTGCTGAGGTAAAGATTTTTACACAGCTTTTTTAATTTACTTTGGTCTGATTTTTAGTCGTTATTTTAGTAGTGTTTTTAGCTGGTTATTTTGAAACGTGTCCTCAACACCGCATCAAACGTGCACCTGCAGCCCCCCCCCAAAAGGCTGTGACAAGAAGGGATCACAGGCGCACAGACCTCCACGCAGCAGCACATGCCAAGAGAGCTGCAGCAGGCCCCTGTGAAATGCCCTGGACAGCTGGACGTCTCTGGTCTGTGACACAGCGCCCTTCCTGTTCTGTCCTAGCTCACAGGGGTGCCAAAAACAATTAATTGCTACTTCTTAGGAGGTGTCACTTCTGGTTAAAAGGAATTGATCAGTAAAAGAAACACAATAAATTAATTTTATTTTTAAAAAGGCTCTGTTTCACAATTCATATCTAAAACTGCATAAATATCTATACATGAAAATTAAAAATAGTTAAGTCAACCACTGTTTAAAAAAAAAATCGGTAATCCATCTGCTTTTTCTCTCATTTGAAAACATTTGTGTTCATACACTGGCTTCCTCCAATATGCAAAACCAAACAAAGCATGTTCTTTGACTGTTGTGTAACTTCATGAAGTGAAGTAACTTGCATGAATTTTGAAGACTTAATTTTATCTTTTTAAAAATATCTTTGTTCCAAGCACCACCATCTAAGTTTTTTTTTCACTTTAATCAGAAGATTCGTAAAAAATGGGAAATTTTAAAAATGTCTACACACAAAAGCTAAGTGAGTAGAAAGTCATTCCTTTAACAAAAAAAAAAAATATTATTTCATTAACATTAACTTCTAAGTAAAACCATAAAAAGAGAAGTTCTTTTGATCTTAAAATTACTTCAGTTTCCTAAAATGAGGATTTTTAAAATAAATCAAGGAATTCAGATAAATTATATATACAGTGGCACGTAAAAAAAAATTATTTCAGAGGTTTTTAAGAGAGTATTTTCTCTAATAAATTTAGAGGGAAAAAAAATCTGATTTATTCTGTCACTGGATGCATGTTCCTATTACTGTCGCAGTTCCTGGAATTACCACAAACAAACACAGGATTATTCAGTGACAGCTGCACAATAGATATATTAACTGTATATGCACAAGATCTATCTAAAACCTCCCAAACCATATAGCAAAAGGCCATGTGGCAAAATGTATGACATGTATTTTTATATTTTTGGTGAATGTATCTGCAATGTGTAAGAAAAAAAAAAAACTGTATAAGTTTTACTGAATTTTATAATTGCCCCATTTTATTGCTTTGCACTTCTATCTCACATTTGTTATCACGGGGGAACAGAAAACACAAGATTAATCAATAGGCTGACATAGAAAGACAATTTTTGCACATCTTGTTTTCTAATATGTATCAATCACGGTCAGTGCGCCCAAATCCAAGTCAAATATTTGTACAATCACCTTCAAATATACTTTCCTAGCTTAGGCAATTACACGGAAGAAAAACAAATTGTATCACTATTAAAATAATCTTAATTTAAGATTGCATGGGATTTATAGAGATATATTTTTATTATTTTTAAGATGTAAATAAATATGAAGAACCTACCATTCTGACTAATTTCATAAACATGTATCAATCATCATAATGATACAGACGACACCAGGTTCAGCACCAATTACATGAAGGAAAAAAACCACAGTTTGCCAGTGTTAGCTACCATGTAGGAAAGGCTAAGCTGTGACCAAGTGCAAGATTTTCTTCCTGTTATTTCTACATACTCTTTTTGCTTCAAAAAAAGCAATCAACCTGTTTGAGTCAGTAGCATGGGGATGATGGAAAGCAGTTGAGAACAACAAAATTAAAAACCAACATTGCAAAAATTAATTGGGGTAGTTGCTATATCAATGCTACTAAGAAAGAAATCAATAAAAATTAAGTAGATGCTTGTAAGTTAAATAACATCTAGAAATATCCCATGTATTACATTCTAGGTTGAGAATTTTAAGCTTATGCGATCAAAGAAGAGTTTACCAACACTCCCCTCTTCCAAAAATTCATGTTCCCAGTACAAGTGAAGCTTCATTTATGTTTTTGGTATGAGTATGAATCCCCTAATGGGGTATCAACTTTACATTTGTCTTAATGCTGGGCATATGAAATGCAGGCATTGTGAACTGCTTTCAGCTGTGTTACATTCAAATCTCTTTAAGGCTGCCTACAAAGGATGAGTTACCCTGTGAAAAACATATCATGAAAAGAAAAAAAATCACACATATACCAGGATTTTTTTTTTTTTTTTTAAGTTTTACTTCCCTTGGCTGTGGTACAAGATTTTATGCACCCTCAGTCATGACTGAGCTGGTTAGCTTTGTGTGTTTGAGCAGTTCTGGAGTTATCTTTTCCAAAAATGTGCTCTGTTATTTTAGCATTTAGCCATGGTGACTTAATGACATTGCTTAAGTTACAAATGATAAAAATAAATTCACCAAACCAAAAATATCAGTGTTGGAATGAAAAAGAACCCAGCTTTGGTTACAAAGATTAGCTTTTAGAGTTTCTTGTCTTTAAAATGCCTCTAAGCAAGCAACAGAGTAGTGAGTTGAAGGAGGAAAAGAGAGGGAAACCCACAATGCTCAGATACTGTTGGTGGAATCAGAATTCTCAGGCTGAGAACTTGAGGTGATACAAGACACGATAAACCTTTAGCAAAATTTATCCCACCTCTTCATTAAAAACGTACGCATCAAAGAAGGTGTATATTATTTTAGTTCTAAGTGTAAAATATAGGCAGGTACTTTCAAAAGCCAAAGCATGTTATTTTATAATGACTGGCTCAAAGAATCTGCTATATTCCCACATGTCCTCCTTCATCTATGGTTGTCCTTATCTAAACCAAAGGGGAAAAAAAAAAAAAAAAAAAAAAAAAAAAAAGGGAAACAAACTAACTAAAATAAAAAAGGGATGCAACAGAAGTCAAGTGAAACAAACCTATGAATCCATGTTTCTGGACTCTTTGGAAACTTGGTTAACGCCAGTTTTCCAAGATGCAAATCTTTAAGCGGATTTAAAGTGCCAGACAGTATTAATTCTTTCCTATAAAAGATAAAATAAACTTTATGAATAAAAGAAGTAACCCGAAAACAGAACACAAACCCCAATAACAACCAGCATGGCATTTCCTTTCTATCATAGTAGGCCTTCATTGTCAAACTACAGGAGTTTAAAAAAACATTTGGTGGATTAACCCATTCCACTCTGCTATATATATATATATATATACACACACCCTATTCAACCAGGCCCAACAAAATAAATCAGGCCAAAGAACTTTATCTTAATCCAAACACATACAACACATTGGTTCCCAAACCTTCCCAGAAATCACTGAGTAAGCTGTATCTGAGTGTGCTGTTCCACCACATTTCCTATTTTGAACCAGAAAGCCAAGGAGTCTGGGGCTATATGCAATGCCCTGTTCAGAATAATGTTGGTTTTATCTGCACACTCTAAAAGCATCCTAACAACACCAGCAGATTTTTGGTTGGTTTGTTTATTTGTTTTTTTCTCTTTGATACTAAGGCAGATACATATCTATCAGATAGGGATACATATACGATTAAATGTTCCTCCTTGAAATTAAGCTTAGGATCATTAGGATCATCCTGCACATCTGAAAACACAGTTGCTCTTCCACAGCACCTCCCAATCACACACGCACTTAGCCTTAGTTTTTTATATATGGCTGAAGACATGGTATCAAGCATCTCTAAATTTAGAAAGAAGTGAGAAATACTCTGTGTGTAGAATGTTTTTTCAAACTTAACAGAAAGGCTGAAATCCCTGAATTAATTTACACATAAAAGTGTAAGTAAAAAACCCTTTTGGTTTTAAAAAAATGAAAGCATTTGCCCTAACAAAGCTTCATGTTCATCCAATGTAACCTTTCCCAGAGTAGCTCCAACAGACGGAGCAAAGTGAAAGCCATTTATCCTTCTCACCTTCTTTGAACAGCTCCCTGTTCCACACCATACTCTCCTTTCTAGCTTTGTAAGTCTTACTGCCTGTCCCAAGCAGGTTTGTAGATATTATCCCATCTCCAGTTACTCCCAGGGCATTCGTCTCCATATCCTAATCTCCTACCAAGTAGATAGTGGCTTTGAAGCAAAGATACATTAAGTTTCAAAGTTACCATCTGCAGACAGAAAACATGCATTTCCCAGAGTTTTGGAATGGGTTTGGTGTTTCGGTGTGGGGCTTCTGGGGTTTTGCTTTGGCTTGTGGGTTTGGGGTTTTGTTTGGTTTGGTTTAGGGTTGGTTTTTAAAAATAATTTATAGTTCATTGTAATGATACACATGGCACTATGTTCAGCAATAGGAGCACTAACAAATGAAGAGCAGGTGAACCAAAAAAGGAAAAGGGGTGGAGGTTGGGGAGCAGGCAGTGGGGAGAAGAAGGGGACAGGGAGGAAATACCCTCTGAAAAAAACTGCTATCCAGTAAGAAGGTAAAACTCTTCTGCAGTCTGACATAGAATACATAATGTGGTTTTAAAGTTATGGCCTGAGACTCACAAACTGCCAGAGTCCTTGAGTTTGAGCACTTACTGTAATTTTCTGTTTTGCAAGTTTTCGGTAGGAGACTGACTCCACCCAGTACATTGACTTTGTTTTGCTGTAATTGAGCTGTCTACCCACAGTCAGAAGCTCATGGTAGCAAAACTAACAATGCGCAATATATTACCTCAAATTCAAGAAAAATGGTGACAACTATGTAACAAAGAACTAGTTTAGACCCTTCTTTTGCTACTGAAATAACAGCTGAATAAATTCTTCAGGAAATTTTACTCCTGATATCTACTGAAGTCAGAGGAGAACTGTGCAGAGCTGAGAAACACAGGTACTGGGTCATTTTTTTTTTTTTTTATCTGAGTCAAGTTCCAGCATGCTTCAGACTGGATGCTTCTCTCAGGTGCTTAACAGGAAACCCAGGTATACCAGCCAGGAGCAGCAGACTGACCAGACTGATGCCAGCGTGTTGACTTTTGCAAAGCAGACGAGAAAAATTCAGGAAATGTCAACACTGGAACAAATGCTCCATTATTACAATGTAAAAGGTGACATTTTGGTAAAAATCACTTACCACACAAACAATGAAAAAGCAGCCTAGATCAGTCTAACACTCACAAAAAGCACGTATATGTCTAACAAAGATTTAGATTACCAGGCCACCTACCTCCCAGAACCTACACTCTTAAGACTTTGAAGGAATTATTCTTCCTGTACTAAGGCATTAGCCGTAAATATGTACACTCACATAGACCTACTCTTAAAGTAAAATTACCCTTTTGGAAAGCTGAGGAACTTCACAGACAAGATTCACTTTCACTGTTGTGGTAGAAAAGCAGTATTTAGCTTCCTGGATTTTCAAATGAGAGATCTTCACATTCACAAGTCAGGGACTTTAATCACAAGTATGACTGAAGTATCATATACTCCCAAATAAACCTCTTTCAAGCTCTTTCAGCAAACATCCAACTTGGGATATATAATTTCTATCTCACTTTTTTGCATTTGTGGACTATAAAGAAGTTTTCAGCCTTCAGAATTTAGCTCCCATAAAAAATATTCTAAAATTACTTTGACTTGGCTTATCTTTTTGCTGACACCTTTGAAGTTATCATACCTGGTAGGAAAAACTTCAGCTTTTCCGAGCATGTTGTTGCCTAACGCCTTTTGACTTTGGAACAATTACACATGCCAGCAAGTATACCAGCAAGAACAAGAACACCTATGACAATTCCTTTACAATCACTTCCATAAGGATTTTGGTCATTTTACCCTGGAAGATTTGTCAACTTCTTAAAACACAGGTTAATTGAAATTATGATTAACAATTGGAGGTGTCTTGTTGCCCAGGGATTTTGCTCCAAGTTCTAAGAAGCAACATGTCTCCTACTCTTTAGCATGCTCAGTTCTCATGGCTTAGGTTCTAGCACCTGCCCTTCTGCTGCTTCCCAGTCACTTCTAAGTAAAATAAATAAAAGACAAACCTATACAGGCATATTACAATTGTTCAGAATAGCTCCAAAGTAAGGGTAGATTATCTATCTCTTGCCAGCAGGTAACACATTTGAAGTGTTATGTTCTCCTGCACTTCATTACCAGATACCTTCTATGAGCTTCTAGCTGAGCTGAAATGCTCATTAGCTTTCCACACGACCTTTCCAGTCTTCTTGCTCTGCCAAATCCTGTCTCCTCTCCAAGGAGCAGATTTCTTTCTTCCACTCTCAAACAAACTGTATCTTCAAATTCAGTGCTACTGAGTCAACCATTATCTCTGAAGCTCTCAGCATCAAATTCAACATAGGAAAAAAGGCATCCTAAAATCAAAGTCATTGAATTCCAGGCAGCACTATATGTAAGGCTAGTCAATAAATAACTATTATGCTTTTCATTTTTTAAGATTGCTAGAGTCTATGCTTTTTTTCCCTTAAAATAAAGCAGTGAATTTGTGTGTGGAGAACATATGATGAATCTGTCACAACAAACATCCTCTGAGCAAGATGAAACAATCATCCCACAGCAGATCCATCATGTTCTGCAAGCAGAGTGCAAGTCCCACTCACTTCCCAGCTTATACTAGCTCAGAACAAGGATTTACCTCCAGCATCTGTGCAGACCACAGTCTGTCCTCTGCTCAGTGACTGTATATGTCACACGCTTGGGTGCCTGACCTGTAATTTATTCAAGTAGGAATTACAGATGATAGAAGAGAACCTGAACTGTGGTGCCATCTAAGTGTCTGTCCTTCAAAAGAGCAAAATCCCAGCAGCTGCCTAAAACACTTCAGGGCAGACTGAGCAAAGCAGTCCTTGGCTAAAGACAGTTTGGTGGTAAACTCCACAGCTACTAATTAGCTGGTGTTAATAGCTTCGCTCTGAATGCTCAACAGAGCTTCCAGAATGGACCACAAACCAGACCACTGACCAAGAATTTGAGGAGGAAGGACACCGTCTGTGGGAGTTTGTATATTTTGGTAAACCATAAATGTCATAAAAGACAAAGCAATCCTCATCCATATTCCTTAACATTTTGAACTTCACTTACAACTTTGAACTACTCTTACATATATAAGATAAAACTTTTTCAGCTGTCAAGCAGAAAACAAGCCAGATTGATAAGGATGAATGCATCTGTATTTAAAAAAAAAAGTACAACTACAAAACCTAGAACAAAAAGCTAAATTCAGTTTAAAGTACTACAAGATTACTTTCCTGTAGTAGCTCTAGTACTTATACATGATTCTAATTCCATTTTATCACTTGAAAGCTACTCAAGCTATATTTTTTCATGACAGTAATCCCTTGGCTATCACTTTCATCCCTCTTTCTTAAGAGCTGAGATGATAGAAAGACACAGATCGCAGCAGAATCCTTCAGAACTACACCAGCAGTGAAAGGACAGCGGGGAGAAAAAAAACTAAACCACCAAAATAACCTGAATTTGCCATATCTAGGGCTGATAACTACCCATAGCTATCATCTTTCCAGGTCATTTTGTTATTTTTTCCTACTGCAAGGATGGATCTTAACTACAAAAGTCCTATTTTTAACAAGAGCCCTCTAAGACACTAACATGCAACTTTTCTGTCAGCTCTCCAGCACTTCTAAAAATATTCCTTTAAAGGAACCAGACTTTTTCCAGTATTACCTAGGCAGCAGAAAGAGAATATTCCACCATCTCTAAGATTTACAAATAAATTATCAGATTACAGGGCTGTAAGGAACTGGTGTTTCTGGGCTCCATTAAAAGCAAGGAGGTAAATTCCTGCTTCTCCTCCATGATTGTTGGACAGGTGCTGCAGCATGACCAACAGTGAAACTAGACCAATCTCAACAGGTACAAGAAAGGAACAAAGTGGGGGGAGAATGCTTCTGGAATGAAGGACAGCCTTCCCTTCTCTTGCAGCGTATCTTCTGAGGGCCATTCAGCTTTGACAAGCTGCACTCATAATGGCAGCAAATTGAACTGTCATCTCAAAAGGTCCCAGGTATAATATTCAAAGAAGTGTAAAGTGAAAACAGTGAAGAATAGAGAGCAGACATCAGTTGGGTGTTGCATGATTCAGCAAAAAGAATACTCCCAAATAAAGTTTACAAATAGCCTTCCTTCACCGACAGAAGGAAGGAGCAGCGGTCCAATTAGACTCCTAATGCCCAAAAATGTGAGCCAAATACATGCCTTCACATGCAGTAGTGTAACCTTTAGCCTGCACTACAACAACAGCAAAAAAGGCAGCCTGAAACAATCTGCAAGGCACACAGCTTACAAGAGATTTAGAGATTTTCAACATTCCTTCAGCATTAGTTATCTGAAAAGCTCTTGTTGTGTCACTCATTACCACTTGAAACAAAGCTTACAGCTGACTCAAACAAAAGGCCCAGGTACTTCTGATGTCATTTGCGAAGTGCAACATACCTCACGTTCCAAGCAGTGGTGAAGTCGGGGTTCAGAAGCAGCAGAGTGCACGTGGTATCTATCAGCTCTAAAATAATTGAACAAGATACACAATGATTAGTAATATTCACACACAGCAGCGCTCTTTCTGCACTCCCTTACTCCTTTCCTGTGCCAGCCTCTGCTCTGCAGGGTGCTGTACCTATGGATGCCCACCTCTGCAAAACACAGAATGTTAGGGGTTGGAAGGGACCTCCAGAGATCGAGTCCAACCCCCCTGCTAGAGCAGGACCATCTAGTCTAGGGCAGGTCACACAGGAACACATCCAGAAGGGTCTTAAAAGTCTCCAAGGTAGGAGACTCCACAACCTCCCTGGGGAGCCTGTTCCAGTGCTCTGGAACCCTTACAGGAAAGAAGTTCTTCCTCACATTGAGGTGGAACTTCCTGTGCTCCAGCTTGTGACCATTACCCCGTCTCCTATCGCAGAACACAGACAAAAACAGGTTGCCCCTTTCTTCCTGACACCCTGCCCTCATATATTTATACACATTGATTAGATCCCCCCTAAGTCTTCTCTTCTCCAGACTAAAAAGCCCCAGGTCTCTCAGCCTCTCCTCATAGGGCAGGCATTCCAGTCCCCCAGTCATCCTCGTAGCCCTCTGCTGGACTCTCTCCAGTAGATCTCTGTCCCTCTTGAAATGGGGAGCCCAGAACTGGACACAATACTCCAGGTGAGGTCTCACCAGGGCAGAGTAGAGGGGGAGCAGGACCTCCCTTGTTCTGCTGGACACACTGTTTTTAATGCACCCCAGGATACCGTTGGCCCTTCTGGCCACAAGGGCACACTGCTGTCCCATGGACAACTTGTTGTCCACCAGGACTCCCTCTCCACAGAGCCACTCTCTAGCAGATCTCCTCCTCACCTGTACTGGTGCATTTTATTACTCCTGCTTAATACTCCTCTGCCTCATCCCAGATGAAATGCTAGCTTAATTCAAGAGGGACCAAAATCTGCCATATCATTCCTTTTCATTATTTAAAATAACTGACTTCACAATTGTGCTAACAACTCACATATAAGAAGTTTGCAGTTGGGAATTTCTGACCTCTTACCTGTACTATTATAATCAAATATACATTATGACCTCAGAGAGGGATGGCCATTCCATAAAATGCTTGAGTACTTAGTGATTTAAATTGCAAAAACACTGTTTACATCCCTGCACTTAAGCACTACACAGACGGTAGATTTATGTATTACACTTACTTTTAATAATGTCATAAAAACAAGACTGAGCTATAGGCTTGCTGAGAATGGAAGAGTAATTTCATTGTAGCCTAGTCTTTCCCCCTCCCTTTGCACTCCACTGCACGATTCAAGCAGTTTTGTATCCCACCACGGTAACAATGGGGATCCATTAGGCATCTCCACTTAAGCTTGAGATACTAAGGACTGTCACCGTGTTGGCTCCCTTAACCTCTGTATCAGGAGACACAGCATCAGATCAGTTACCTGCAATCCCAATTCTGAAATTTACATGGTGATTTTGCAACTGAGTAAGAAGAAACATGCTTCAGAACTGACCATGACTATTCAGGCTTTTTTTTTTTATTGCCCAGAAAGTTTGACCAGATTCTATCCTAATCACTCTGCATTTAATATACTAAATAGACTGTACTCCAGGTGACTTCCAGCAAATAAGGGGCACTTAATTTCCTTACTTTCTATGGAAACAAAGGAAAAGGGAAAAAAAGGATATCTCACGGAACCACATCTCTGGTTAGTACAGTTAATATGACTGTAAAATGAAATTTTAAGAAGTCACCAATGCAGTGCAACAATAATGCAGTAATTGATAAGCAAGCATATTAATTCAAACCACAAGGGAACATGGCTTCATATATTTTTGAACAAAGACTTTGAGAGAAGTTAATATTTAGAGTGGGTCAAAAAGTAGAGTACCTGTTACATCCCTGTATTACTGTTCATTCATTTATGCCCAACAAAGTAATTCTGTGTTTTCCATAATGTTCCTGCTTATGAGGAACGTGTTGTCCCATCATACAACGTATGGTTGTATGGGTGGAGGGGGGGAATTCTATACCGTGCTCTGTCGATTTTGCCTTAAGCTGTTACAGTGGTACTTTAAAAATAACTTCAAGAAATTAATTTAACTTTCTGTTTTCATGAATTTTAGTTGAGGGTTGGTGGGGCTTTATTTCCCCCTTTAATGAAAGATTTCCTTTTAAACCCCTCTGTTGCCAGGGAATCAATATTTCTCATATGTGAAAAGCTTCTTCCTAGTTTGTTGCCTAAATGTACAAAGTACTCTTCTGCTGACTACTGATTTAATTTTACATGCAAAGGCTTCATTGGCAACGAGTCCAGAGGAGGGTCACAAAGATGGTCCCGGGACTGGAGCATCTCTGCTATGGGGACAGGCTGAGGGCACTGGGATTGTTCAGCCTGGAGAAGAGAAGACTCTGCGGGTATCTTATAACTGCCTTCCAATACCTGAAGGGAACATGCAGGAAGGCTGGAGAGGGACTTTTCACAAGAGTGTGCAGCAACAGGACAAGGGGAAATGGTTTTAAACTGAAGGAGAGTTGGTTTAGACTAGATCTTAGGAAGTTTTTCAGTACGAGGGTGGTGAGACTCTGGAATAGACTGCTCAGACAGGTTGTGGATGCCCCCTCCATGGAGGTGTTTAAAGTGTTTAAGGCCAGGCTGGATGAGGCCTTGAGCAACCCGGTCTCGTTGAGAGGTGTCCCTGCCCATGGCAGAGAGGTTGGATTAGATGATATCTAGGGTTCCTTCCAACCTAAGCCATTCTACAATTTAACAAAACACCAGTTTTAGAAGGATCTATAGTTAAAACCATGAACTGTCATTGTTCCATGTAGCTTTCCCACTCTACCTTCTCAAAAATGTTAGTGTATTTTGTATATTTAGTATATACATTCTCAGAATCACAGAATGTTAAGGGTTGGAAGGGACCTCAAAAGATCACCTGGTCCAACACTCCTGCCAGAGCAGGGTCCCCTAGAGCATGTCACATAGGAATGCGTTCAGGCGGGTTTTAAATGTCTCCAGAAAAGGAGACTCCACAAACCTTCTGGGCAGCCTGTACCAGTGCTCTGTCACTCTCACAGTGAAGAAGTATTTCCTAATGTTTCTGCAGAACCTCTTATGCTCCAGCTTGCACCCATTGCCCCTTGTCCTATCACTGAACATCACAGAGAAGAGCCTGGCTTCATCCTTCTAAGAGTCGCCCTTTACATATTTATAAACATTAATGAGGTCACCCCTCAGACTCCTCTTCTCCAAGCAAAAGAGACCCAGCGCCCTCAGCCTTTCATTGTAAGGGAGATGCTCCACTCCCTTAGTCACCTTTGTGGACTCTTACAAGCAGTTCTCTGTCCTTGAACTAAGGGGCCCAAAACTGAACAAAATATTCCAGTTGCAGTCTCACCAGGGCAGAGTAGAGGAGGAGGAGAACTTCTGTCAGCCTACTAACCACACCTCTTCTGATGCATCCCAGGATGCCATCGGCCTTCTTGGCCATGAGGGTGCATTGATGGCTCATATTTTTAAAAAAATCTCCGTTTTACATAATCACAAATTAATTGCTCTGATTATTCTTCTATTATTACCTTGTGCCATAAACAATACAAATTGCCTTTCAAAACACAATAGGCCAAGAGATAGTAGAAATTCTTCCAAAGTAACAAATCTTTACATCAAATTCATAGTACCTTTCACATAGCAACTGAGAGTTCCTTCAAGAAAAAAAAAAAAAAAAAGAATTCACATAAATCAGGAATTACAAGCTTTGTTGCTAACACAAAGCAAGGCTAAGTACCTAGATTGGGTTAACTGTGTTTTTACCCCACCCATCCAACTTTGCCTCATACAGTTTTGGAAAGATATTATGCAGTGCGTCAAACCTAGGCTGACTGACACTTCCCATGGTGAACTCTATTTTTCAGCCACTTATCACTTTGCCCAGAGGTGAGTGAGCTGCACCTAAAGGCTCCAATGCTGAACCATTGTAAGTACTGATGCAAGAGGACTGTGCAATAAAGGACATGTCTGCAAGATTTTTCCATTTGTTACAGAAGGGAAAGGTGTTTGCTATAGGAGGGAAAGGTAAATGAAACTGTGCTGTGCAGGATAACAATAGTAGAGGCACAGCAAGAAACTGCAAACCAGAACAGGATTAGAGGCAGTTCTGAAATAAGCAATTTCAAAAATATGAATCTGAGTGTTGGATTGTCTAAATATAATAATTGTTTTAGTAATTATTAGTTGCTACCACTGCATATACCACAGTTGACAGGACACATTAAGCAAATGCTTCTTACAGCCTCATTCAGCCTTTTAAATACTTTCTAGAAACAGTTTCTCACAGCCTACGTGACATCACTTAGACCAACATAGTTAGTTTATTCTACTAAGTCATGATTTCCAGTTAACGTCACTATTCTAGTAATGTCAAAGGTCTGGAACAGCATCTAATGTAGCCCAGCTTAAAAAGAAGTTTTTCTACCATTTTGCCCATTTTCCTGTTACAGAGGTTCAGTATATCCAGGACAATATCAAAGGAAGGAAGCAAACCAAAGGAAAAATCTCAAAGCAATACCTAGTTCTTTCATGTTGACACTCTTTGATGATTTGTGCAATAAGTGAGATGAAGATCTAATGAAGTGTGGATTCTGAGACAGAGATGTCAAATGACACAATTTTAGTAAGCTCTGAGACACTTTTCAATAGCAAGTCTTAAGACAGATCTGGCTCACCATCATACTAGTTGCCTGGTAGTTTCCTCTGTCAGCAACAAAAGCCAAAATCTTTTATTTACAATTTAAAACTACTTTCTGGTGGATAAATTTTAAGCAAACTACAGCATTATAAGTACTCACAACATATACATCCTTTTGCAAGTGAAAGTCTCCCCAGCTGGAAAAGGATGAATATGACAGTATGGTTTTAGCTCCTTTTTTTTTTTTTTTTTTTAAATATGGCTGCGTCCAGATTTCAATTTTTGTAACAGTATCACATTAAGATGTATTTTTCAAAAGAGCGT